AAGTGTGAGGTGTGAGGAAGAGGTAGGATCAGATCCTGTAGCAGGTCAAACAAAACAAAGGCTGAGGCAAGGACACTGTCACAGCAGACATCAGCTCAGTGCTTGTGGTGGGACAGTAGGTGCCAGGTCTCATGAGGACCTGGTTACTGATGGACTGGTTTAGAAGCTGAAATCACTTGCTAAGAGACAAGGAAAAAGAGGTGTTGGGACTGGGACCCGAATGAGCCTGAAAAAGGATGTAAACCTGAGATGAGTCCAAAGGAGATGAAGAGTTTCCAGGTGGCAGGGCTCAGGAGGAATGCAGGCCCCGCAAATTTCTGGGGGCGGTAGGCATATCACCCACCATGGAGGACCTTAGAAATACAAATTATTGCCTCCGGGCTGGGGATGTGGCTCAAGCGGTAGCGCGCTCGCCTGGCATGCGTGTGGCCCAGGTTCGATCCTCAGCACCACATACAAACAAAGATGTTGTGTCCGCCCAGAACTAAAAAATAAATATTAAAAAAATTCTCATTCTCTCTCTCTCTCTCTCTCTCTCTCTCTCTCTCTCTCTCCCCCTCCCTCTCTCTCTTTAAAAAAAAAAAATTATTGCCTCCTTGAGAGGCACCAGCATAGTTACTAACACATTTTGGCAAATGCACCCAGGGAAGTCAGTGGCTTGTTGGCCCATTGGTGGTTGCTGAGGACAAAGAAGACATTTGTGGCTTTGTATTGACTTGGCAGCTGGGGGTGGGTCATTGGCTCCATGCCCATCTTGTTCACCATCCCTCCATCCAAAGGAGAGCGCCACTTGCAGGGCATTCTCCCAGCCAGCACTGCCACTTGCCTCCCAGAAATACTGTGTGGCTCAGTTTTGGTCAGCGTCGGAAAACTTTTTTATTTTGGTAAATTTTGCTGTCCCTTTTATTTTGCAGTTTTGGTTCCCTTTAGTTTGTTCCCAGGTTTTGGGCTGCAATGATAGCCCACCATGGGGTCAAAAGAAATCAGAGACTGGGATCAGAGGTTAGGGCTAATTGGATCCTGTCTGCTGAATGAACTTCCCCGGCCTAGGGCAGCTACCGGTCCTCAAGATGCTGTAGCCAGAGCGCAGGTGAGCGTGGCTGGAGCAGTGCATAGGAAGTGGTAGCAAAAGGAGAGAGGGGCTGGGGGTGGGGACTGAAGGAAGGAGGTACAGGTCCTGGCAACTGGGCCCCTCCTTCCTACCCACTCTCCCCATATGCTTTTTATCACCAGCCCTGGCAACAGGTCCACTGTCTTGAGATCATGTGTGACCACAGCTGCATTTGGGCCCTCAGACTTTGCCCCACTGGGGCCAGGAATTGCCCCAGTTGGAAGGTATTGACCAGGTGCTGATGGGTCAGCCCTGAGGTACAGACAATGAGGTCCTGGGAACTCCCTGAGTTTGAAGGAAGGAAAGTTGGGGGTGTAAAGTCTTTCAACTATGAAAGAAATGCTCCACAGAGGTGGGAGAATCTGCCAGGAAGAGGGCAGGGAACCTTCCCACCCTTCCCATAGTGACTCTGGTCCAGAGATTCCCTCCAGACTTCTGGTTGCCTCTGCTGCTATGGGCCTTAGGGGGGTGATGCTCCCACTGACAGTCTGGGTCTGGACACCAGGGTGGGCTGCTGGGCCCTCTTTTAGATTGGTCAGCACTGAAGTCCCTAAAGGGGCTGGATGTGGATATTGCTTTGCCAAAAGAGCAGGCTGCTCCCTGCTCTTCCAGGTCTTTGGCTTGCATGTCTCAGACACAGCACAGCCCTCCCTGGGCCTTCCCAGTGAATTGTCTAGGGAGGAGAGCAGAGCCTGTCCCTCCACCAGCTGGGTGGCCCCAGACAGTCTCTTCAGCTTCTCAGATCCATGATCTCCTCTCTGGCTAGTCCATCTGGCCCCTTGGTCTCCAGTCTCTTAAAGAGTCTCCCAACTGTGCTTTCAGTGTGACAAACCCGGCTCTCTCCTCCTCTCCACCTCATTCCTGTTCGGCTCCCTTTGGCTCCCTTTCCTCCAGTCTCTCTCTCTGCCTGCAAGCGGGCCCTTGCCTCCCCAGGTACTCAGCTGTGTAAAGAGCCGCCAGGGCTGATGGATGGGTATTCCCTCCTTATTCTCCCACTGGCCTCCCCTCATCCAGCCCCTCCCCTCACCTCTCCCACTACCTCCTATTGTATGTTATTTTATCACCAGGGAATGGCATCCCAGGAAAGGACTTCTAGATAAGCAAGTGGAGAAGGTGGGTTGGGAATGATGAGGAGGGGTGGAGCATCTCCCGCAGATAAGGATTCCTCCCAAGGGAGGGAGTGCCAGTGAATAAGGAGGCCAGTTTCCTGGTCCTCCTGTCCTTCCCTGTCCCTGACAGTGATGCCTGAAGGGCAGAGAGGCAGAATAGCAAGGAAAAAGGATTGGGGACTTTCAGCAGCCAGAACAAAGTTTGAATCTCAGTTTTGACCCTGTTTAGCTACATGATCATGGACAGTAAGCCTCAGTTTCTCCATCTGTAAGGTGTAAATACTACCTACTCACAGCGCCCTGCACAAAGTGTAAACTCAGTAAATGTTGGTTCTTGCCCCTGCAGTTAGCATGCTGGGTCACCCTATTCCCTTGAAATTTCCCCCCTCATCTTGGATTCCAACCCAAAGCTAACCTTTATACTGGGCACATTTCCAGCCACAGTATCAGGGAATCCTTATCTTACCATCAGGAAAGGGGAAATGCAGAGAGGTTAACTGTGTCAAGAATCAGCAGAGGCAATGCCAGAGTAGAAAAACTTGGTCCCAAAGCCCCAGAGGGGGGCCAGCGAAGAGGTGGCTGGGAAGCTGAGAAAAGGTTGCAGAAAATTCACCTGGGAATGAGCTTCAATAGCCTAGGGTGGCTCAGGAGCCCGGGATCTACTCCTGCCCACCACTGGCTGTGCGAGCCTGGGAAGTCCTTTCCTTCTCTGAGCCTCATCTTGCAGGGTATGGGGCAGCCTATGAATGGTATGCCTGGCTCTCTTTCTGCCCTGCATATTCTGTTTCCTCACCTGCACTGGGCACCTAGGACAGCCCCAGAGTAAAGCTCTTCACAGGGTGATCATCTTGCTCTCTTCTTTCCCGCCCTCCTTTCCTCTTCTCCATTTCCTCACTCTTCCCCACCCCCATCCTGTCACTTGGGGCCCATAATCAATGAGACATAAAATGAGAAAGTGTCAGGAACTAGCAAACCGTGGTGAGCAGCTGGGGCAACCTCCCATAGACTGCCTGAGTGGGTGGACCCCCAGCTTTTGCCCCAGCCCAGCCTCCACACCCTGCCCAGCCATTGGGCCACCTGCCAGGGGCCCAGCCTGGGGCCTATTTTCAATGAGTCGAAAAGCTTCATCTAAAAAAAACATCATGAAATCCGTGTGTATTGACATGGAAAGATGTGTCAGGATTTAGACGCTTCTCACCCCCATTTATGTTATCACATAAACACATCAGTATGCACAAAAATGTGGATGGACGGACCCCTGCTGACTAGCAGAGACCTCTGGGAGTAAGATCAAAACACTCACCTACTTCAGATACTGCCTTTGTTGGACCTTTAAAACAAGCATATATTACTTTTATAATAAAAGTATTTCCATTATGGGGAAAAATCTTCACAGAAACATGTATGGGCTAATGGAAATGCCCAGTCTAAAAGCACAGAGACTGATTTTGTGTGTGTGGCGCTAGGATAGAATCCAGGGCTGCTCCAGTACTAAATCATATCCCCAGCCCTTTTTATTTTGAGACAAAAGTCTAAGTTGCCCAGCTGGCCTCAAACTTGGGGTCTTCCTATCTTAGTTTCCCAAGTAGTTAGGATTACAGGTACACCCTACTGAGTTGCTTTTTTTTTTTTTTTTTAAAGAGATGATCAATATTTTCTTAATGTGGCTGGTCTGTAAGACTAAATCTTCAGAAATTTGTAATTTTTAAAAGTACTTTTTAGTTGTAAATGGACACAATATCTTTATTTATTTATTTTTATGTGGAGCTGAGGATAGAACCCAGTGCCTCATACATGTGAGGCAAGCGCTCTACCACTGAGCTATAGTCCCAGCCCAGAAATTTGTAATTTTTAAGACAAAGGAGACTAAATATAAAAGAGGCCCTTAATGTGAAGGCTGGTTTATGACAACCAAGCCCACAGCAAACTGGAAAAGAATATTTCTTGGCAAAATTTACCAATATAGAAAAGCTTGTGCATAGGAAGAAAAGAGGAAGGAGAAAAGATTGGAGGAAAGGGACAAGAAGGAGGGGATAATTTTTGTCCAATGAAGACCAAAATGTTCTTTTTCAGGCTCATGTATTTCCTAGGTTGTTCTCAGAAAGAACAGGGACTCTTTGCTCTGTTGTGGAAAGCTTACTGAAGACAGCAACCCTGGATACCCCATGTCTCTTCCATGGACAGGGAGATCTTAGTGCCTGAAACGTAGGAAGAATGTCCTCCTCCAAAGTCACTGATGATGTGGCTGTGTCACAGGCAGCAGGAGCTGTCACTTCTCCCCACCCCTGCATTCTGGCCATGGTTGCTCCTGTCACCCTCTTGCTGTCCCAGAGATGTGCATCCACACATAGCCCACACCTGGGCTCAAGATTGCCACCCTCCGCATAAGTACTTTACACAGCATAAGGACCAAGTCCACTGAGCTCTGTGGTCCAACTCCCCTCCTGCAAAGGCACCCAGCTTCCCTGCAACCAGCCTGAAGGAATCCTGCCTCCTGGAGCCTTTAAGCATGAACAGTTCCCCAGAATCCTTGCTTCACTCCTAACCTGCAAGCTTTCTCCTGCCACCAAGCCCAGGCACATGGGGACTCTCCCTGAACCAAGGACCACGCTGGAGCATACTGTGAAACAGAGAAAGGGAGGAAAGAGGCTGGTGTATCTCTGCCTCTTTCTGAATGAGGGTGGAGGGCTAGCAAGGGACATGAGGGCCATGGGAGGTCACTCCAGCTGCAGAGTCTGTCAGTTGATTTCCACGCTGAGGAGTCACACGGGGCTGGAAGATGCAGTCAGACACAAGTTTATTGGTGGAGCTGCACCAAGAGTCCTCCCTCTCCCTGGGAGAGCCAGCCGGGGGCACAGCACCAACAGAGGGATGGACAGATGGACTCCCAGACAGACACATGGGTGGAGCAGACTCATAGAGACCATAGCACAGCCACACAGGCAGAGACACCGAGGCCACAGCACCAAGGAACACACACACAGACAAAACCACAGGGCTAAGACACATGGAGAAAGTGCAGGCTTTGGGACCCCTGCATAGACAGAGAGAGGGCCACATGGGGAGGGGGCCCCTGCTGACCTCCCCAGGCATAGGCACACCAAGAGCACAGAGAGGCAGATGAACCAGCCACACAGCCAGACAGGCTGCCACACAGACACATGGATTGCACAGAAAGGACATGCGCGGCTCTCCAGGCTGTGGGGAGCAGGGACTGTGGGGGCTTCTTACATTCCCCTGCCTCTGACCTGCTTCCAGCTGTTCAGCCTGACTCCCACCCAACACTCCCCCCACACGCTTTGGTCTTGCTCACTGGGGCTAGAGCTGGGGCGTTTGGCAGGTGGAAGAGGGAGAGAGGAAAAGGTATGGGCCCAGCTCCATTCCTTCTCCGTGACCAGGGAGGCAGGTGCTGAGAGTCCAGGACTGAGGCTGGACCTGGCAGTGGGGTGAGGGTGGGGCTGTGGCTCAGGCTTGGGGTGGCTCCTGGCAGCGTGGACACCGGGCCATCTCAGATCTGTACCGCTCGACCTGCAGGGTACAGCTGGAGATTCCAAACCGGGAGTAGAGCCGGGATGATGCTTCTTTCAGGACAGCCTCAGGGTCAGCCGTGGAGTCTGTGGGAGAGAGATAAGAGGCAGCCTCAGTCCCCAGGGAGTCAGGACCAGGCAGGCTGCGATAAGGACAGAGTGAAGGGGGCCTGAGGGCTGCATAGCCTTAAAGCTAGGCATGAATGGCGCACTTGCTTTTCTTTCTGTATTGTATGAATAGCATAAAATCATCAAAGAAAATGTCAGAAAGACTCACCCTAATAGACCATGGTTAACACACTAAACTGTTCCTACTATTCTATTTTCTTCTACCTTTGAGTATTAACATACAGCTAGATGTTTCATTAACCACACCACCCAGCTTTCCAGGACAATTCAGATGTTAAACATTCTGTCTCATTGTCCTGCTAGAGTTACCATCAAGTATCCCACAAGTTATGATATTTTTGGCATCTAAATTGCATGTCTCTGATTGCTTCTTGCATCTGGAAGAAACTAAAAAATTCTTTGTCAGCTCATGAGTCACTGTATATATTTTTAATAGTTGAATCATAATGTAGATACAATTTTATATTCAGCTTTTTTCTCAGCATTATACCATAAACATTTTTCCTAGTTGCCATACAGACTTCATAATTGTCATTTTTCATAGTGATGTGATATCCCACTGAGTGGCATAAGTTAACTGTGCCCCATCACTAGACCTATAGATACTAGTGTTTTTTTAAAGGATTGTTGGTTTCTTATACTACCTCAGAAAGGGTGAAACCTCCCCCAGAACACAGTGTCAAGGCCTCCTTCTTTCTAGTGTGTGTGTGACAGAGAGAAAGAGAGATCAAGAATGAAACAATCCCCAGTAATTCAGCCTACTGTCACATGTTGAGGGCCAGAGGATGGTTCCAGGAAGGTAATGGTTGGGGCCAGTGTAGACTCACCAATGGCCAGGTGTGCAGAGGCAACATGGTAAGTAAGTGTCAAGGCCCACAGGTGCAGCTCATGGGTTGCGCGGACTCCTGGCACCGACAGCAGTGTATCTCTTACAGGTTCAAACCCCACACCGCTGGGGGCACCTGCAACCAGCACCATAATGTCTTACTGCCAGGGCTGCTCCTGCCCAGGGGCAGTCCCCCCCGACTCGGCCTCCCTGATCCTATATCCAACGGCCATGTGGACCTCCACGATCTGCCCTGTGTCCCAATCCTTCTTTCACTAATAGGTCTCATGACTCAGCCTTTGTACACTCTCTCCAGAGAAAAGAGGGGTGGCCCAGTGCTGGGGTTTTGTCAGAGAGGCCTCTGGAGTGGGAAGCAGTAGCTTTGGATTCACCTTCCATGAGGATGTGAAGAACATCTCGGAGGGTGGGGGCGGTGGATCCAAGGGCACAGATGGAGAAGAAGAAAGTGCTGATGGGGTCAGCCGCCTTGTACTGAGGCTATGGAGAAAGAGATCTAAGCTTAAGCCCAGAAAACAGGGACCTCTAGAGGAAGGTCTTGGGAGAATCAGACAAATAAGAGTTGAGAGGGGAGCCCTGCAGAGGGGGAACAGGAATGTGATCCAGGGCAAGAAGAGGCTGGGAGCTGGGAGCCTGAAGGAGGCTGTCAGAGGCTGAGGGTTTCTGAAGGAGGGGCTGGGACTTGGAGTGAGAAGGAGGGCTGGGGTAGGCCTCCACAGGTGGTACCTTGAAGTAGATGAGGACAGAGGCAGCCAGTACCCCGAAGCTCTGCACGAGGTCCCCCAACACATGCACGAAGGCCGCCCGGACGCTGGTGTTCCCCATGGACAGGGGGTCACCAGGCCCTTCTTCCAGCGGTGCATACTCTGCCCCCCTAGACCTGTGGCTGTGGGAAGGCCCAGCCTGGTGCAGCACAAAGGCCATTCTGAGGGGAAAGCAGAGCAGCTCAGCACAGGCAGCCTCTCTGACCTCCTCTGCCCCGCTTCCATGCCACCTCCTCCCACTGCCCCAGGAGCCCAATCTACCTGTGTTCCCAGCCCCAGGAAGAAACCAGCATTGCCTAAGAGAGATAAATAATGCAGCCTGGGGGAAAGAATACTGGACTTGGTGCCAGAGACATAGATTCAAATCCTGGCCTTACTAGTTAATTAGCTGTATGACCTGGACAAGTCACCTAGACCCCCACCAGGATCTTTTACACTCATGGAAAACAAGGAATAATACTACCAACTTCAAAGGGTGACTTGAGGTTTAATTGAGATTATACCAATGAAAGACCCCCAAAGGGGCCAGTACACAGCAGGCCCTTTACAAATGTCTGTTCACTCTGAATTACAGGTCTCTGCCCTGGCCCCTTTTCTAGCTGATCCAAAGCAGACAGTGGAGAACTGTGTGTGGAAGAGCCAGCTCTCTCATCCTGGAGGAAGAGCCCTCGCCCTGAGTCCCACATAGTGCCTGCTCCACACTGGAACGTACATCATATTGGCACAGACTGCAATGCTGGCGGTCAGCAGCATGGGCTCTGCCTCGATGTGGTAGTCACTGTGCAGCAGGCGGAGGAAGGCCAGGTACAGGAGGACACCAGTGACCATCCAGAGGGAGACCACAGAGGCCAAAGCCCCCAGAGTCTCTGCAGGGGGAGACAAGCTGTCAGAGACATGCTCAGGACCCTGAGAGGTGCTTTCTGCAACACTTAGGGGCACTGGGTCATGCAGGGCCTTACCTGAGCGGTGCCAGCCAAAGGTCATGGTGCGGGACGCTGGCCGGGCAGAGAGCCAAAGGGAGAAGAGGCTGCCCATCATGCTACCCACATCTGCCAGCAAGTGGACGGCATCAGTCATAATGGCCAGGCTGTGTGCCAAATACCCACCTGCAAGGGCAAAATTATGTGAAGTCTAGTTCCCTTTAGGAAGTATCACATAGTTTGTGCTCACAGACACAGAAAATAAACAGAGGAGAACACACAAAAATGAAAAGTGGGGCGCCGGGGTTGTGGCTTAGCCGTAGAGCACTCGCCTAGCACGTCCAGGGCACTGGGTTGGATCCTCAGCACCACATAAAAATAAAATAAAGGCATTGTGTCCAACTACAACTAAAACAAAATAAAAGAAAACTGGGTTTTTTGGGTGTGATTAAGGGCAGGTTTTTATTTATTCTTTTCATGCATCCATGTTTTTAGGTTTTTCTACAATGATATTCTATTTTAATAAAAAGACACAGCTTTTTAAAATACCAGCCAACACGAAGAGGTCAGCCCTGGCTTGCCAGCACTGCCGTCACTCACCCTGAACCCCTTAATACCACCCCTCTTCCCGCCTCCTGAGTCCTGGGCACACCCCTCCCACCCCTCCACCTTCCGCCTCTCCACTCAGGAATCCCTGGACTGGCACAGGTTGGAGAGCTGCTCCCCACTTACCAACCACCTCCCCGGTCATGAAGACGACGCAAACAGCACAGGCGGCGTACAGCTGCTTCCGCGCCCGCGTTCTCTCAGGCGTGAGGCCCAGCGGTGGCATGGAGTCCCTGTGGCAGTGGTGGAAGGGCATCTCCACAGGCTTGGGCTCCTCAGGGAGGGGCTCCGAGGGCTCTGTGAAGAGACTGAGGGGGCAACACCATTCCACCTGGAGTCTGGCCCCTGTCAGGCTGACCTGCTCATTCCCAGGTCCTCATCCCCCATGCTGGCCTCAGCAAATGCTGACCATCTCCCGCTCTTTCCCTAGGCCGGGTCATGCCCTAAGCCTTGTGGACAGATGGAGGCCATGAAATAGTTTAGACCCTGACCTCCCTTTTCCTTCCATATACAGAGCCACAGAATTTCACAGCTGGAAGGCATCTTACAGATGAATGGTCCCATCTAACAATGAGAAGCATGAGGCTCAGAGCAGGAAAGGATTGATGGGGGCCCCACAGTTGGCTGGTGGTAGAGTTGACAGTAGAACCCAACCAAATTAATTTGCTATGATAGGCACCACCAGAAAAACACATTGAGTGGGACATCCTTCCTGGTCTCTGGGAGGTCTTGATGAGCAAGATGAATGTGCACTTAGACACTATGATACAGCCCAGGGCGGCTATTGGCAGCAGAGCACCTCTCAGGTGAGTTCTAGTGAGGAAGTCAGGGAAACAACTGACGGAGGCAACATGAAGAGGCTCTTGAAGAATGGGAAGGACTTTGATAGAGATGAGTGAATGTGCCAGGCAAAGGCAACATGAAGGGACACTGGTGTGATAATGTGGAGCAGGACTCAGCACATGAACATGGCTCTCCCAGCCCTCTTCCTGGTGCTTCCACTCCCAGAGCCTGCCCTCCCTATCTAGATACCCAGCAAAAGTGTTGTCCTTTCAGAGAGGAATAGAATATTGGGACCCAAAACATCTGAGATTCCCAGCTCAGAAAACTGATGGCTCCAGAGCTGAGGCTGTCATAGGAAGAAGAGCTGCAGCCTGCTACAGCTGGAGATGCTGGTATGGGAGCACTGGTTTGGAGTCTGCCACAGGTTAACTGGACTTCAGTCTCACCATAAGCACCTAGAGGCCCTCTTAGCTACATGGCACCATGGCCTATCTTGACAAGTGAATGGGGACGGAGGCCTCCCTGGAGGGGGCCAGAGGCTGAGCTTGGGCTATTTTAGGTCTATTCTGACCCAATCCTCACCCCATCACTATCCAAACTGAACCCCAGCAAGGACAGAACCATCCACAGAATAAAGAACCTAAACAAATGAACAAAACACCCATGACAATCTAAAATAGTTGTGGAGGTGTGATAAGAATACCCATCAGGGAAAATGATGGCTCCAAACAGAAACTCATCACAGAGGTGCAGTGGAAAGGTGCCTGGGGCCGCTGGCTGAAGAAAGCTCCACAAGTAGGTGAACCAAGGTTTGAGGGAAGCTGAGGGCATTTGGTGCTTGTGGGGAAAATCCAAGTGCTGGTAGGAAGATTTATCTCCTGGATATCAAAAGCCCCTTCCAAGACACAGAACCTGGGTATACATGTTTCTGGGTGTTTTCAGAGGGAGTGGGGAGATGAGAGTGGCTTTGAAGTCCATCCTTACTCTTTTTATGAGGTGTGCCAGGCAGTACATACATATAGAAGTCCAGTCTGGTGGGAGAGACAGATGTGTAACAAATAGCTTCTAGGCAGGGAGAGGCTATCGAGGTGAGGTTATGAACACAGGACTTTGGGGCACTGTTGGGAGTGACCACCTCTAATGGGGGTGAAGACAACTTCACAGGGGAAGACATGAGCCCTAGGTGGAGGAGGGTTCTCCTGACACGTAAAACAACCATGACAAGGTTTGCAGCTTGCAGTTTAAGTGTGAGACGAAAGGGGAAAGGAAGTGATGGCTTCAAAGGAACATAAAGGGAGATGTGCTGCTTTACTGAACAAATATCTTCCTGCAGAGATGACCTTGCAGATGGGATGGAGAGAGGAGAAGAGGTGGAGGGGTCGAGCACAGACCAGGCCTGAGGCTCTGAGTGCAGTGTCAGAGCATGGGCAGGTAGATAGGAAGAGCCTCTTTCTGAAAACCCTGCAGGATTTGGTGACTAATGGTCATATGAGAATGGAGATGGGCTGGGAGTCAGAGTCACAGAGACTGGGTGGCTTTAGGGGCAGTGGGCAGGGTGCCTTCCCTGGCCTCATAAGGCACAGCACAACCAATCATCAAGGTAGTTATCCATCAACAGGCTGCTCCCTTTTGTTCTGCATGAATTGGGAATGAAACAGACCTCCTAGTCGGGATGCCAGGGGTATGTGTGGGCCCGGATAGCTACATTCTGTTGAGTGGGTAAAGGCTGTTCCCTCTCCTGGCCCTCAAAGCCCTCAACAAACAAATTAAATCTAGTGGGGAAGGCAGGGTGATGTGAGCAAGGGAGCAGGAGCTGATGCAAAGTCAAAAGGATACCTGAGAGATGCCAGGGTCACAGCTGGAGCCCCTACAGCGGCCCACCTCTGCAATCCCCTGCAGGAAGTCTTCCCTCTCTTCTGTTCACCCATTCCCCCAATCACCCAGGTTTAAGGTCCCCTCCCAAGGAAAGTGCTAGAAACACACAAAAGCACCTCATCAAAGACAAAGGGAGCGGGGCGGGAGAGAAACAGAAAGATTAGGAGAGACAGAGAGAAAGATTAGGAAGAGAAAAACCTGGAGACCATGCCAAATTCTGGAGACAAACAGACGGTCAGCCACCAGACAAAATGGCCAGCAGAAGTGATCATGAAAGGCCTAGCGCTGCCGCCGAGGGGTAAGGCGGATGGAGCCGGCGGGCGCCGGGCGCGGGAGGCTGGCAGGGTGCGGAGGCGGTTCTCCAGCCGCCCCCGGCCCGCTGTCCCGGCCGCTCCGCGCGCCTCATTTCACACCTCGCCGCCCCCGGCCCCGTCTGTGCCTAGCCGGGAATACCCCCAGCCGCCCTTACCGCACCTGCTCCTTCCTAGCCGCCCCCTCTCTTCCCCGCGGCCGCTAGCTCCCCAGGAGCCTGGAAGACCCGCCGCCGAGCCGGGCTCATCTTCGGGCCCGGGTGCCCACAACTGGCCGCGGCTGGAGGGGGGGCCCCTAGCCCGGGCGTGCGGAGAGATGGGCTCGGGGCCTAGACATGGAGCTCCGAACCCTGGGTGGTGAGGTGTTCCCGCCGCCAGGGCCCGGGGCAATGCGGACATCGGGGCACCTGGCGCGGACTCTGGCCCGACGGAGCGACAGACGCTCCCAGGGAAGTCAGACGCGGCGGGGGCGGCAGGGGGGCCCGAGACGAGGAATGTCAGCTGGGGACCAGCTTCGCGGGAGCGGGAGAAAATGGGATGGCCGGGAGGAGGCACAGCGGGCTGCAGGCCGGAGGGGATCGGGCTGCTAGGGAGGGCTGGCTGGGGCGAGGGGCTCCGTGCGCCCGAAGGGAACGAAGCCCCGCGCCGCGAAGCCGAGGGAGCCGCTGTACGCTTGGGTGGCCGGCCGAGCCCGCACCGAAGGAGACAACGAAATGGACAGAATGGCAGGAGGATGGAGCCCCTGGGCCAAGGGCCAGCCCTGGTCTATCCTACCTCTTCAAACGCAGGCCGCCGCCGGCGCCGCCACGGTCCCGGGGGCTCACGAGGCGAGTGGTCTCTGAGCCTCCGGTGGCGGAAGAAGGCTCCATGTCCAGCTGCTCCGACCGTCTAGGCCCCACCGAAGGAGGGAGAGGCGGGGCCGGCCTCGAGCAGCCCGCGGACCCCCGGACTCCCCGCAGGGCCGCGGGGCCACCAGAAGGGAGGGAACTGCGGACACTATAGTGCGCGGAGTCCGAACTGCAGATCCCGCGGCAGCTGGAGCCCCGCCCCGCGTGGGGCTATCTCCTAAAGCCCCGCCTCCAGGCTCCCGGTCCCCTCTCCCACGCCTAAACCCCGCCCCCTAAGTCCCGCCCTCATAGCCAAAGCCCTATTTTCCCGCGCCAGAGCCAGGTGGGGACACAGGGAGCGCCCTGCCACCCCAGTTCTAGAGAACGCTTCATCTGTACAGCCCCACCCCTTAAGTGGACCGGTTCCACCCCTGCCCCAACTCCCACCCAGCCGTTCCAAGACAAGCTCCTCAGGCTTAAGGGACCTCCCAAGGACCAACTTTAGCCCAAGGAACACCATTGCAGGCCTGCTTGGAGTGTCGCCCTGCCACCCGGTAACCTTATGGCCAAATCTATATCCAGAGAACCAAGAAGAATGTGGAGTGAGCAAAGACACATCCCAGAGAACCTCAAGAACACTGGCAAGAAAACCCACTGTGGAATCTCTGGGGTAGGAATTCACAGCAAAATCTCAGTTGAGCACTGTTCCGCTAATAGTTTACTTTTACAAAAACCTTGAGTGACAAAAAGCTTCCTGCTGTCCATTATTATCCCTACTTTTTAGATGAGTAAATTGGGTCCCCCCAAAAATGTCCAAGACCATGCAGTAGATGAATAAAGGTCCCTGAATGAAACCTCATCCTCTTTCTCTCCCAGATCGGGCTAGGGCGCCCCACTGGGACTGAAGAGTGTGAGTCACAGTGCTTTCACTGAGAGGCTGAGTGAGACACCAGGAGTAGTACTACCTTTCTGGGGTCACAAGCCACTGGTTACGGAGGCAGGTTGCAGTCAGCTTGTGATTCCTTATCTCCACAAGTGGAGCACCTTCTGGGGCATTATCTCATTTGGGGAGCATTAAAACCTAGTATAAGGAGTGACTTACGGCAAAGTCGATGGCCGAGGCTAGAGCTGAAGCTTCAAATGCTCAATGCTTTCTGCCCCTCGCACTTGCCGCCCCTGTAGAATGAAAACGGGTGGGAATTGGATTGTGCACTCTAAGCTGCGACAGTCTGTGAAGAGGAGGGTCCGTGGGAGGAGGGGAGAGAATAAGCAGGGATGGGGAAGCACTGAGTGTGGAAATGGTTAGTGAAGGAGGGCAGGCAAGGAACTCATCAACCGCATCTTTCAGAACACACTGGGCGTCCTGAACTATGAGTCCTGAGAATAGACACCTACCCTGGACATTATTGTTAAAAAAAAAAAAATGAGACCGTGTGTGCACTTACAAAAACAAAAACCCCTGGAGCACGTGCCAGCTAGAGTGACTGGAAGTGATGGGGTTAACCCGGGAGAGCTTCGCGGAGGAGGTGAGGCTTCAAACGGATTAGGCAAGCTGGGCGGCGAGCTGGCTGTTCCGGCGGGGGAGAGTGCCTCTCGGCTCTTGCCAAGGTTTGCGGGTGGAGGGTGCTAAGGGATCGCGCTGAGCGGCGCAACCCAGCAGAAAAAGAGAACCGAGGGTCTGCGCTCGCCCTCCCCACCGCTCCTCCACCCACGCCGCGCTCCGCGCCGCTGCCAGCCTTTCCTTCTAGCCAGTACCCGCACCGGCGCCTCACGTACCCGCGAGGGGCAGGGGAGCCAGGGAAGCGGCGGGGTCGGGTGGGCGGGGCTCTCCAATCTCCCTAGGGTCTAGAGGTTGAAAGGACCTCAGCTCTCTGCTCAGGTCACAGGAGGGCAAACTGGGGTAATGAGGTGAAACCACCGACCAAGGTCACCTTGTTGGCCTGTGTTAGAGCCACAGTGCCGCTCATGCCCCTGCCCGGTTGTGCCAGGGCCCGGACTCGTCCCCTGGCGCCGTCGGTTTTCTAAACTTGCCACCCAGCCTGGGGCTTCCCCAATTCTGAAAACCCTGGAGCTGGGATGATCAGGAGCTCCGACGCACTCCAAGGCGTGGTGCACTCGCCTCGTCCCCAGCTGCCCGGGTAGCCTAGCTCGAGAATGGGGAGAAACCGCGGGGCCTACACGGGGACCCAGCTCCTTGGCCCGCCTCGCTGATGACGACAACAGGGGACGTGACAACAATGGCTTCCTCCGGGATTTCCCTTCCTGGATATCCACCGGCGCGCGGAAAGCAGTCCCGACTGCCCGGGAGGGGGTGCAGACATAGGCACGTGCCCGCCCCGCCACCGGGTGGGATACAAGCTGGGAGAGAGAGGGGGGCCTCGGGACGAGTGGATGACAGGCTGGCTGGATGTCTGGCTGCTGAACGTGACGCCTCCGCAAGCCTAGGGAGCCGGCGGTGGGAATACCAACAGTTGCCTTCGCTTGAGAATCTGTGTAAGAAAAGCTTGGCGGCAAGAGTGGTGCTTGCACCTGTTTACCCAAGAGTCATCAAGTGGCCCTATTTCCAAATTTTGCAAAGGTCCTCTTGAACGCCAAGCCTGAGGGAATCATGCTGCACCTGGATAGGAATTTGGGATTTTCTTCAGGAGTTGGAAGGTCAGCCTACGATGGAGCCCTGTATGGAACTGTTGGTTTTTTGTTTGGTTTGGTTAGGTTTGGTACAGGGGATTGAACAGTAGGGGTGCTTTACCAGGAACTACATCCCCTGTACTTTTTATTTTTTCATTTTGAGACAGGGTCTTGCTAAATGACCAAGGCTAGCCTTGAACATGGATCAACCTGCCTCAACTGCTAGTGGCTAGGATTGCAGGTAGGCACCACTGCCTCTGGATGGAACTGTGGTCTTTTAAGAACTATTCATTCAACATTTACTCAACACTTATTCCCTGCCACACATCCTGCTAGCTTAGCTGGAGATGGGTGGTAAACAAAAATAGAGTTCCTCCCCTCCTCATTCTAACTTTACTGCAAAAGAGCTGTCCTCTGGAGTTCTTTGTACCCACATGCTTTTACTGCTCTGCTTTGGTAACAGTCATTAGGCAGAGCTTGGTCCCAAAGACACGATGGAAGCAGGAAGCCCTGGATGTTCCTAGGGTAGGTCCCCTCAAGGGGTCCTCTGGTGGAACAGGTCAGAAGACACTACAGGGGGACCCATGCTAAAAGTCCATGATAGATCATTTATATTGGAAGAGGAGAGTGAAGCCCAGTGCGCCCCAGTGTTGAGATTAAGATTTAAATTAGCCTAGGGACCTTAGGCAAAATTTGGAATCTAAGCGTGAGCAAAAACTAACACTTGCAAGAGCCAACCCAAGCTGGAGAGGACAGGCTAAGGCAACATGGAGATCCAACTTCTACTCCATTCTCCACTCAGATATCACTTCCAAAGAAGCCTTTCCTGACTTCCCCCAGGCTAGGGATGTACTCCTCTGGTTCTCTCAGCACGTGCTCATCTGACCATAGTAATCACATTGTCAAAACCATTTGCTTGACTGTCTTCTCACTAGAGAGAGGTTAAGCTCCCTGAAGGGAAGAGGGTGTCTTTCTCATGCTGGATCCCCAAAGCCCCAATAGTGGCAGTACACAGTCCTTAATTAAGCCTCTCCGAAGAGAAGGAGCTGGTCATCAGGGTGGAAGAAGGATGGAGGAAGCTGACTTTTAGTTGGCAACAGAGAAGATAAGAAAGGGCTGCAGCTTAAGGATTCCTGGCCCCCAACTGGGTTAGTTCTCATGTACTTCTATTGCACACTAAGTTTTCTTTCCTAGCATTTATCACCCTATACTTAAATTTCTACTTGAAAATGATGTGTTTCTTCACTTGGCTTCCAGGATACCATAGTCGGGTTTTCCTCCTACTTTGCTGACTGCTTATTTTCAGTCTCTTTTACTGGTTCCTCCTCATCTCAATCTTGCAATTTTGGATTGACCCAGGAATTGGCCAGCCTTTTCTCTTATCTTTCTGCACTTATTTCTACCATCTATCACCCAATCTTAAGCCTTTAAGTACTATTCAGTAATAGCAGAAAGCAGGGGTTGTTGAAGTTGGATGTAAGGTATATGAGGAATCATGGTACTATTCTGTTTTTGTATGTGAAATTATTTTTTAAAGATTAAAATATAAATGGCTCTATAGATGATAATTCCTAGGTATCTCACTTGGACTTCAAATTCCTATGCCCAAATGTCAGTTTGACATTCTCTCCTGAATGTCTTAACAGCAAGCATCTCCAAATTCATTAATCTAAAGCTGAGCTCTTGATCACCATTCCATCCCAAACCTCTTTTCTTTAGCCCTCACATGTCAGAACATGGCAACTCCATCCTCCATATGTATAGGTTAGCAATTTTAGGGTTATCTTTGACTCTTCTATTTTATTATCCCACATTCAATTTGTCAGCAAATTCTGCTCCTACCCTTGTCCAAACCACTACCATCTGCCTTCCTGATGGTCATATTAGCCTCCTAGGTGGTCCCCCTGTTTCCTCCAGTCTTATTGCCCTATATCCTTTTCTCAATCTAGTAGCTAGGCAACATATGTCAGATTTTGCTAATCCCCATCTTGTTCAGAGAACCAGCCAAAGTCTTTCTAATGTCCTACAAGGCTCTACACTGATCTCAGTTCATACTCATTACTATCACTCTCCAGTCACTCCGGCCTTTCTGTGAGTCCTATAACCCTGCAACACACCAGATAACCTCCTGCCCCAGGGCCTTTGCAATTGCTCATCTCTACCTCTACTGGATTCAGTCAGATGTATTTACAATCTACCTCTTCACTGGCTTCAGGTTTTGTAGCAAATATCACCTTCTCGGATCCCCTCTGCCTGTTCTTTTAAAAACTGCAACCCCTCCCTCATCACAAACTTTCTCCATCTCCATTCCCTGCTTTATTTTTTCTCCATAGCCATTATTACCATCTTATACCCTATTTTTAAAATTTATTTTGTTTGCTATTTTTTCCTATCAGAATATAAGGTCAATGGTGGCAGAAATTTTTTTGTGTATCCCCAGCACCTAGAAGAGTATCTGGCATATATTGGCACCTACTAAATTTTTGTTGAAAGTCATAATGAAGATGGGCACAGTGGCACATGACTATAATCCTAGTGGCTCGGGAGGCAGGAGCCAGCCTCAGCAAAAGTGAGGTGCT